GTTTATTCATTATAAGTTCTAATTAACAACTCAGTTTGTGTGGACAGTCTTATGGCATTGCTCCGAATTCGTCTCTCATTTTAAGATACACGTTATTAAGGTAATATTTTAATTTTATGTTGTTCACAAAATGATACGATAGTATTTCCTATGCTAAAGGATTATTGACAACATCCTCTAACTATGCATTTTGAAAAGTCCCTCCAAATTAGTTGAGACGTCACCAAGTTCACTGTTCCTGCGATTCAATTGTGTCGTAGCGTACTTAGTACTGGTACTGGCAATGACAAAAAATCTTAAGGAATTAGACCATAAGAAATTTGTTTAAATGTTTTTAATACTAATCTCTTATACAAAAATGCACTTTTCTGAAAAAAAATTGTGTTACGTTTTGAATAAAAAATACAGTGACGATTTTTTCTAAACAACTTTTTTTGGCTACGTAAAACATGTACGGAAAACTTCAAAAAATTGGCTAAGTCGCATGTAAAAATCTTCAATCCGTTGAATAGTTATTTGAACAGATCAACGCAATTTTTAGTTAATTTAGAACTATTTAATACTTTTTCAGTAAAAATTTAGTTTAAAAGATTGACTAGCTTTTATTTTGAAAGTCTTGGAAAAACGCAGTAGCTGGTAATTGTGATAGGGAATAGAGGAGGCTGCATCAATGTGGTGGTATTTTCTCATCTTGAAAAATTTTTCAGAGCGGTGCTCCACAGCGAAAGAGACAGAAGGTAAAAAAATGTTTTATTGACCGATTTCTTTCCTTACGCGAGTATTGCTAAAGAACACCACAAGCGATGCGCCGTTGCCAAGTTCGGATGGTGATGGCTTCGATGGGGCTGCATAATTCCTCCTTATACAATCCCACAAAAGGGTACGACGAACTAATCGTGAAAAACATGACAGGTCATATTTGGACTTTCCGTACGGATTATCTTGCTCACAATTTTCGGCGAATTTAATTAAAGTAGCGCCTCGGGGGGATCGGGTAGGGGGGGCAGATTGGTCCGTGGTATCAGATAGGGGGAATAGAGCTCCGCTAAAAAGGGGGGGGGGGGGTGCGATGCCCGAGCCAGCGGTCAGGGTTGTGTGTTTGTAAAATATAACACCCCGACATCCGCTCAAACGTGCAGAAAGTGACTCCGGTGAGCGACGCGCTTGCGTGGATGACGCGCCATGTGCGTACGGTAGGTGACTGTTTCGATGGCTGCGACAAAAGATGGCAGTGAGATCGCGGGTCCCGTAGATTTCTATTTTTCCGTTCTATTGTCGAGTAGTTTCGTTTGTCCTTATTCGATTGGTGCATGTGACGTAGAATGTTTCCTCGCAAATCGAAATCATTCGGAATATATGAACAACTATGCCGAAAAAATGAGGCGCTAATGAAACATGTCGGTTAGGCTTGATTTTAAATAGGTCGGTTTATGTAAACATAATATCTAATTAACATAGGAGGCAGCTGCTGTGGAATAATTTTATATAACTATAAGAGTTGATGTTATTAATGACAAATTTTTAATATAAAAGTTATTGGTAAGAAATTTCTGCATGCATTGAAAATAACTCCAACGATACAGCATATCTCATAAATATCTCAGAGCACCAAACTTACTAATTTTAAATGTCATATTTGATATAATATTTCATTTTAAAATTTCTGAGAAAATTTCATCTTAAACTCTCTCAGGTGTCCCTTAAATAGCAATATTCATATCTTGAATATTTTTTAAAATATATTATATTATTATGAACACCAACCAATTATATCTTTTCAAAGCTGCAAAATTTCTTTTTTTCACATACAATTACTTTCCCCAGATATATTTTCAACGGTTTCCTTATTATTTCGTGTTTTATTAAAAGTCACCCGAAAGTTTTTTCTAGTATTGATTTTGAGCAAATTTGACATGTTATTGGTTTTATTTAGGTTAAAGGAGCGAGCGGACTCTGGGACTTATCGCCCAAATCATCTAATTTGCCGCCCGCTAGAATTTTCTCTGGAGCCCTAAATTTTGAATCATATAAAATTATTAGTAACCATTTTATATAAGTCCAATCTTCAGTAATAAATGTCTAAAATATTATTTTAAAATTAAGCAAACCATTATAAAAATAAGACGTTTGTTAGCAAATTGTAAGTCATCGTAACGTGTAGCAAGGGTTCACTTTTCAAAATCTAAGCCTAATCGATACTTTCCAAATACTCCCTATTATACATATCGAACTGACTCGATAGTAGAACTCGGTATAGCACATGATCCCACTGCCGCTAGCCGCTAGCCAACGCCGCCTCCACCTGCACTTTAGTCGCCTTTTCTCTATAACTATGTCCGCTATCGATGCTGCTGTCTTGACTTTCTTAATTTGATTTAAAAACATTAAGTTTGGTATTAAGGAAAAAACAAAGACTTCAAGACAAAATTTGAATTCACTTAAAATATATTGATGTGTATGTATGTAATTTGTATTTTCGTGGACAAGTAACAAATTTTTCATTTTAAATAGAACATCCTGCATTAATACACATTTTTGATTTCTCGAAACTTTCTAGTTTCTAGACATTATTTCATATTTATAACCAATTCGTAAGGCTAGGCGCATTTCTGACATATTTTGAATACATATATCATGTTGATTTCCTTATAGAAGAGGATCTAATTTAGTCATGTGTGTTGACATTTTAAAAATAAATAAATACAGGGTAATCAAAAGGTAACTATAAAATTTGAAAGAAAAAAATAGTTAAGTTATTTTTAAGGGCGGCCTTGAATATTTGCAAAAGTTCTAGATTTCGAAATAGTAACAATAAACCGGTTTCATCAAGTTCTACAGAAACGTCACTATTTTGGGTTGCTGTGAGTCTGGACATCAATGTTTGCTACCTAATTTATTTTCTGATTTATTATCTTCTGTCTTAAAAAAAGTACATAATGGGGAAAGTCCCAATGGTAAATGAAACAAATAAAAGAATAGTTTATTATTTGCAATATTCATAAAAAAATATATACATCTTGTTTCAAAACAAATTGAAAAAACTTAAGGAGGTTATTACTCGTTATAGCGGAAAAATAAGGTTTTAATTATTTAACTTAAAAACGAAAATAGATAGACAATAAAATATTGCGGAAGAATTACTATTGTTAAAACGCAAACACACTTTGTGCATATTTTTTTTATTATATCAAAATAAGTGGAGGATATTCATTCAGAATACCCCTATCATTCTTCTTAGCCACACTTAACTTTGAACATTTGAAAAAAGAAAATTAGTTTATTAGAAACTTTTTTGTTTCGTGTAATTTTTTGATATAACTTATGGTTCCCAAATTGTATGTCGAAAAAAGAGCTTTCCAGGAATTTCACTTTCACTTTTGCGTTAGTGTAATTCACCGTTATTGAATTGATCACTGAACAATTAAACGATGAAACTAATGAAACTAACTGAACAATGTCAAATAAAGCATAATAAGAAACACCTTAAGAAGTGACAGGAACCCACTAATTTTTTTTTATGTTGCTTTAGATTTTATTTCTTAAAATTATTTAAAACTGCAGGAGACAAGAGGTTCTAAATAAAACATAAAATAAAAGAAATATTTCTTTTCATGTCATTGCGTAAGTTTTTCCTAAAAAAAGAGGAATAGTAGGGGTAGTCCAATTCAATCCTGTCCACTTATTTAAGAAAATTAAAAAATATGCATATCTATTTTAGTTATGTCCAAAACGTTAAAATTTTTCTATTTTCTTATGGGTTTTTGGCCGTCTGAATATTTTCCCGCAATTATCAAAATGTTTCTGATGAAATTTGTTCGATGCTTAGAATTAAAAACAAATTTTAATAACTTCTGTGTTGGTAACATTGAGCATGATTTATAAGGGTTACAAAAAAGTATCAAATAGTAGTTTCCATTTCTGTAATGCTCGATTGCTTTTTTCTGTCATATTTCGTCACCTTCTTCTCAGCCAATTAATATCCGAATAGCATTTTTGCAAACGACAAACGTATTATTGCTAATAGTCAGAAATAATAGGCAACTTTATAAAGTAGCCTTTTTTCTAAATGCTCAATATATATGAGAAAATTATAACAAAGGGGTTTTAATTTTAAGATTAATGTCAAATTTTTGATACCAATGGACTTATTAATTTTTAAAATGTCAACACCGACTACTAAATTAGATCCCCTTGTAGAAGCATATCACTCCCAAGTATTTAGACCTGCAAACGTCATCCCTGCAATAGACATAGGATATTATATACAAAATACAAAAAATTCATAATATACAAGATAATCGATTTCAAATAAGAAATTACTTAAACACGAACATATTGCATAGATAAAAATATAAAATTGTGAATCCAAACAACCTGTGTTTCTAAGTTTTCTTGACATGGTTTGCATATTCTGAGATAAGATGTCATCTCGTAATAAACTGGCCCGTGTTGGGCCCTGATATAAATTTGCAAAATCAGAACGAACCGTTGCAATTGAATTACTGACAATCGCATATACAAAGCGGTAAACAGTGTAAAATAAGGGACGTCCCGTTACATGCCCGACATTATACAGATAAGGTCCAAACCACTTTATTTAAACAACATCCGATTAGGCTTCCCCGTTACACGGGTACGCCATATTTGATTACACTATTGATATTTTGCCGAACAGTGTGGATACAGGATTTGTGACCTGGTTTACATTTCTCCTCGGCTAGGATTTATGTCCCGGAGAAGACAAATGGAAAAAGATTTTCAAATAAAATCATCCCTTGCTCGCGCGGAATAGGACCGAAAGCTTAACGCGACATCGTAGACAGCCAATTTAAGATGATTTCCTTTCTTCCAACGAGGAAATATCAAATTAAGAAAGCATAACGGCAACATCGACTATAAATATAGTCGAAATTTCTATCGCGGCGCGACATTTGTTAAGCTCTATTAATTGGAAGTACCTATACTCCGTTTAGTTTCGCGATAAAATAGTTCAGACTTACCTTTCCGTGTACTCGTCGATGTGAGCGTACGACTGAACAGAGTTCTCCTCGATGAGAAACTTTACGCGCTGATAGAACGAGGCCGTGACTGAAGGCGGTTGTTTTCGTAGCAAAACCTCGACAGGGTCGTTGCTAGATATGCACATTATATGATCTTGGCAGCTCGGGTGAGAGCAACATTCGCTGTCCGAACAATCGGTCATGCCATCTGTAAAAACGCGAGTCATCGCGATTTTAACGGAAAAAACGAAAAAAATTAGGTTAGCTTTATACAACATTAGAAAGAACATAAGAACGAAAAAATGTATCGTAGTTTGATACAACATTAGAAGAGACCTGGTTTCACAACACTGTAAACACTCCGAAGTCAAGGTCTCAGAAAACTGTTTAGTTAAGCTCTAAAGAAGCCAACACGATTATTGGAGGAAACGTCAGCAAGTTGAACGCAACAACAACAGACTCAGGATGAATCCAGAAGTTTTTTAAATAGTAACAGTAGCCTGTGGAAGTTTCTTTGAAAAAAAAAAAAGTTTCAAAAATAATTATTTCGAAATTGCTACACGTGTTGCCAGCATACGGGCAGCATCAGACAAACAAACACGTCAACTCAGTTTATTAATAATTATTTTAGAGACCTATATAGTAGTCGCATAAAATAAATTCAAATCAATTCAGGAATATATAGAAAAACTGATATTTGAAGTTGACCCATATCATTTAAACCAATAAAGCTGAAAGCTGAATCTATATAGTAGTCGTATAAAATAAATTCAAATCAATTCAGGAATAGATAGAAAAACTGATATTTGAAGTTCACCCATATCATTTAAACCAATAAAGCTTTAGTTATTTTACTGGGATTTTGTCAAAGTTGATTTTTCCATTTTATCGGCTTATTATGGATTATGGATGCAGGGATGTAAAAACTTTTTGAAATACGACATTCTGATTTAACCATGTGGCCAAAGCGATATCAATCTATCTGAATAGTGTTAAAAAGAATCATTGGTCTCATTCGCAGATTTCGAAAGGAATTGCTCCTTCAAGTTTCACTATACTGTCATATCGTGTTTTATATACTTCATTTTGTATATAAACATACGAACAAATATATTCATCTTTGAGAAAATGAGAAATTTCTTTCCGAGCCTAGAGTTATGACTTGAGGCCCAGGAGTTTTGGAATAATTTCCTCGAGGATGTCTACGTGGTGCCAGTTCTCCTTCAAAAATCCTGTAAAATCAATCCCCAAATCATCCTGGTTGTGTGGCAATTTCTGGCATTGTGACTATAAAAAGTGCCCTCACTTGAGAAAAAGCATTCGCTGTCCCGTCAAATAAATAATTAGCCACGCGTTCGGCAACGCCAGAATGCAAATGTTACACCATATTAAATTTGTATCGATATATACTTGTGTTTCTTTAAGATCCTCAGTTTTTGAATCACCACTTTTCTTTTCAATTTTTCTATATATATATATATATATATATATATATATATATATATATATATATATATATATATATATATATATATATATATATATATATATATATATATATATATATATATATATATATATATATATATATATATATATATATATTAAAACAGAGAAAAAGTGATTAGGTAAAAGAAAGGCAAATGTTATAGTCTATGTGTCTATGTAACATACAGTTTTTGTGGACCTGACACTGTATACCAATTTCAAAGGCGGCATTGAGTTCTACTGAAAAAGTTATATGAAGGACGGTTTCACATTTTCGATAAGTTATATAATAGAGTACCTTAAAATGCAAATGAAAATTTTGTTAAAGCCATCTTTAGTTTCACGAAAAAGTTGTACAATGTCTTGAAAACCGCAAAAAATCGCTAAGATACAAAAGTACACAAAATGGGACATTGACATTAGTTTATAGAGAATACAAAAATGAATATAAATGGCATATTGGAATTTATTCGGCACTTCATACAAACATCCCCATTTCTCTCGGTTTAAATTTTAGGATCCTTATACACTCACAAGTTATTATATGCGTTGTAAATACATTTTTGCATTATTAAAAAGCCCGAACGCTGAAGGCTATGCTAACATGTCTAAAGGTTAGAGACACCCTTCAAAAATAAAATTCCGTGAAAGAAATGAAGTATATTTTGTTCGAAAAATTTGCTTCGTGTGTACCACTAAAAAATTTAAATTTTATTTGATAAAAATACATGTAGAAATTGCTTCGTGTCTACCGGGTTTAGCGTACAGTTGTTGTTATAAAAAAACGAAACGACATACCATGATCGTTGTCAACGTCGTCTTGACATTCCTGCTCCAACGAAATGCTGCAATCAAACCCTGCCCAGCCCTGGATGCAGACGCACTTGTACAAACCATCCTCCAGAGTGCATTGTCCATGACCCGAACATCCGTTCTCGCATCCGGCTATAAAGATAAACAAGGAAACTCATAAAGGGGATGTTAAATCTAAAAATTGCATTATCTGACAAAGGACGCTGCACAGAAAATCGCAGCGATTCACTACGGGCAAATCTTTCAAAGTAGCAATCAAAAATTATAAAATTGAATATTCTAAATTTCTGAAATTTGTAATGCTAATAATAATAATAATATTAATATATTTACCAAAACATTAAATAATATACAGTTATTCTACTTTTTTATAATACGACCAATATAATACAAACAAACCCACTAAAGAAATCTCTTGACGGATGTAACGTTATTTAATATATTATATTTTCCAAGATCTTGTAATACAACTAATTGTTTATATCGATAGAATTAAAATTATTACTTAACTAACAAAGTTTGTCTTAGGTTCCAGTTGATATAAACAATATAATAATTGAGTCAACAAGATAAAATCAACAGTTAAATAAATTATAAAAAAAAAATAATTAAAGAATAAATTAATTGCAGTTTTATACCTATTATTTTCATTCATTTTCTTGATATACTGACTTAATTTTTAATACACGCACTTAATATACATATTTCGAGAATCTATGAAATCGTGCATTAGTTAGAATTTAATTTTTTAATATCTTCAGGTAGGCAGTTATACAATTTTGGAGCAAGGTATGTATCGCATCACGATGCAATAGTCTTCTCGAGATCTGGAAATTTATATTTGTTGAGTTTGTTCCTTGTATTGTATTCATGGTCGATTTGGGGCAGAATATTTGATGCAGATCGAGAACTTTTGCCAAATCATATAATTCTTGGGTTGGGAAGAGCACTGTTTTCTTGTAAATTACTTTTAAGATCCATTATTGATTTTTTGCTAATTGGACAAAGGGATGCACCTACCCAGGCTATTATACTATATCTAATATGGGTTTCAACAAGTGCATGTTAGAGCAGTTTTTAATTGTGCCTAGTTTAAGATCGAAGACAAAAACTTGAATCCGGCTAAAAGTGCCCTAATCTATTTCACAACATATGCGATCTGAACATAATACTTTAGGTTACTATCCAGATATATACATAGATACTTTATAGGTTGTTTGGATTTTATTTGGACCATTTTGAGATTGATAGTAAATCTTAATATATTATAAGTAGGGATATTGCTGGCATATAACGTAAAGGGTAAGAAAACGGCGTTTTCACAATTTAAAGTCAGCAACATACTATCAAACCAACTCAATACAGTTTTAAAGTCCTCTTCAGTGATTAACTTAAGTTCTGTCCAGTTTACTGCGCTATAAATAGCTGCGGTGTCGTCAGCAAAATTCACAACCCGTCCTTTAATGTTTAACTTTAAAAACCCCGTTAATGAAATTAAGTTAAATTAAAGAGTATGGGATCACGTACGGTTCCTTGAGGAACTCCATATTTTAACTATTGGAATTCGCTCGTAATATTTTAACACATTATTATTGATTATTTAAGCAACTTTGTAATAATTAATAAGGAATGCATCTAAAGCCACTATCTTGCAGACAAGCTAAAAGTTGTTCGTGATCAACTGTGTCGAATGCTTTAGCCAGATCAAGAAATATACAGAGTGGTGAAACTTTTTGGTCAATACATTGGTTTATATTAGCAACTAATTCAGCTACTGCATTCTCTGTCGACCTTTTCTCTCTAAAACCATAACATACCATTTTCTGTTTTAATATTCTTTCAAATATTTTCGTAAAACTTGAAACCAGTGAAATCGGCCTGTAACTCAACACAGTCTCTGAATCGATTTTTATAAAGAGAATAATAGCTTCCTTAGGAATTGTCGGAAATACTCCTTCAGATAACGATTTGTTTATTAAGTATGTGAGAGGCGTCAGAATGAAGTCAGCGACCAACTTTAAGGTTTCAGATCGAACGCCATGCATTCCAGGAGCTTTATTATTTTTCAAGCCATTAATTGTTCATAGTGTATTTTCCTCCGTGATATTTGAAAGATAACATGAATTTTCCAGTCCCTGCATATTTTTTATTCAACTAATAAACAATCGCTATATCCTGGAATTTTCGCATTCCAGGCGGTGCCTCCGTGCCATATTTGGTAAACTTGTATATGTAAATCCAGTTTGGCCACAGTGTACAGTAATGTTAAGTTAAGACTTTAAAATACAGTTGGGTTTACTTTTAAATTAACAACAACAATAATAATAATAATTATAACATTTTATTTCCAACAGGAAACATGACCCAATTACAGGAAATATATATATATATATATATATATATATATATATATATATATATATATATATATATATATATTTCCTGTAATTGGGTCATGTTTCCTGTTGGAAATAAAATGTTATAATTATTATTATTATTGTTGTTGTTAATTTAAAAGTAAACCCAACTGTATTTTAAATTTTTTTTGTCCATATATTGACGTTTCGGTCTTCTATGACCTTCTTCAGAAAGGGGTACAGTCTAAAATTATGTTATAGTACAGTTCTTTTTTTTACATATACACAACGGAATTACAAAGAACCTTACCAAAAAGAGACAAACACAAATCTTAAAATTGAAGAGGTAGCATCATATGAAAGTTTATACTTTAAAAGCATTTGGTTTTGTCATAGTGCCTAGAAATATTATTGTTTTGGTTTTTTCCAACTATGAGAATAAAAAAGTCATACCCTTGATAAAAGATAAAAGTCCAACAAAAAATGATTTGTATACGGCACTCACACACATAATACACACAAATTTAACGAAACAGTTAAAATATATATAAGAGTTTAAAATAATAATAATAATAATAATACCGATACGCGAGGTTTGCTCGCGTCGACGTTACTGTAAAAACATCGTACGATGCACGATTGTTTTGGTGCAAGGTTCAGAGGATATACAGAGTGTTTTTGTTAATTTATAATTTTTTTCTTTTATTTATTTTAAATTATTTTTATATATTATAATTTTATATTAATATATCCCTATGTTGTTACTTCCATTGTTGTTTTATTTCAGAATGTTGCAATATAACTTACTGAGATTGTTGGTGTCTGTTTTCGAATTTATAGAGTTCTTATTTTTTTGGATCTCAACCATTTCCAGAATTTCCCTTTTTTTTGTATTATTTTCGGTTTTTAGAATTTTTACTTTCGCAAAGTTGAAAGAATGCTTGGTTTCCGCGCAATGACTCTTCAGGGCAGTCGTATTTTTTTTGTCGTATTTGTGACCATTAATTCTGTTTTTAAGATACTGGCTTGTTTGACCGATGTACACACCCTCACAATCGTTGCAAGGTATCTCGTAAATGACGTGACTCTTCTTTTCGTCCGGTATCTTGTCTTTTAATTTACTGAAAATGTTTTTTACCAAATTGTATCCTTTGTGAGCAATAGTAATGTTGTGATTCATAAAAATTTTGCTAAAATTTTCGGACATACTGGGTATATAAGGAAGCGAAAGATAATTTTTTTTTTGTTTTTGTTGGGTGTTGCTTTTTTGTTTAGTTTGGTTATAGAATAGGTGTATACGTTTTTTGAAAATGGTGTTAATTAATCGTTCCGGATAGTTATTTAGTTTTAATGCTTGTTTTGCTTTAGTAATCGATTTTTCTCTGAAATCCGGATCAGAGAGTTTAATTGCACGGTCAGCCAAGCCAATAATTACGGATTTTTTTTGCGATATAGGGTGCTGGGAGTTAAAATTAACGTATCTGGAAGACCAGGTCACTTTAGTGTACCACTCGGTTTTAATTCCTTTTTTTAAATTATGAAGGGTTAAATCTAAAAAGTTGATTTTACTTTGGGACTCTATTTCTATTGTAAATTGTAATTTCTGATGGTAGCTGTTGAAGAGTTGAAGAATTTCGTGTTGTTTGTTTTTTGGTATTGCCGTTATGCAATCGTCTACGTATCTGTAGAAAAAAGGTATGTCAAAAAGGGCATTGCTAAGGACCGACTCCTCCAAATCTTCCAGTACAATTTGTGCGATGGCGCTGGAAATTGAAACTCCCATGGCGCATCCGTCGATTATATTGCAACATTCTGAAATAAAACAACAATGGAAGTAACAACATAGGGATATATTAATATAAAATTATAATATATAAAAATAATTTAAAATAAATAAAAGAAAAAAATTATAAATTAACAAAAACACTCTGTATATCCTCTGAACCTTGCACCAAAACAATCGTGCATCGTACGATGTTTTTACAGTAACGTCGACGCGAGCAAACCTCGCGTATCGGTATTATTATTATTATTATTATTTTAAACTCTTATATATATTTTAACTGTTTCGTTAAATTTGTGTGTATTATGTGTGTGAGTGCCGTATACAAATCATTTTTTGTTGGACTTTTATCTTTTATCAAGGGTATGACTTTTTTATTCTCATAGTTGGAAAAAACCAAAACAATAATATTTCTAGGCACTATGACAAAACCAAACGCTTTTAAAGTATAAACTTTCATATGATGCTACCTCTTCAATTTTAAGATTTGTGTTTGTCTCTTTTTGGTAAGGTTCTTTGTAATTCCGTTGTGCATATGTAAAAAAAAGAACTGTACTATAACATAATTTTAGACTGTACCCCTTTCTGAAGAAGGTCATAGAAGACCGAAACGTCAATATATGGACAAAAAAAATTTTAATCGCTTTTAATACAAAGACCTATAACCCAAGAACCAAAAGCTAAACATAAATATAGAGAAGGTCTAAGAAAAAACAAAATATAAACAATATATATACAGCATGGGTGAAAATATGCTTACCTACGAATACATCTCTAACACTTTCGGCGAGGGAACTACAAGAACCTTGAAATTATACTGCAAATCAGTAACACAACTATGCAAACAGAAGAACAGAAGAATATTCCTCCTTCGGTGCAAAAACGACGGTGTAACCCCCATTTTTCTCAATTTTAAAATGAAACACATCACTTTTAATTGTAAACATCTCGAAAAGAAATTCAGAGAGGGCATCATGGGAAATTTTGTGCTA